AATTTTGTCTTCTTTTTCTTGTCTCAAAGTAGAAAATAATCCTAGGAACTGGAAATTTTTCTGAAAATTTCAAAATTCCCCGTTCTTGATTTTTCTCCTCCCTTCTTTATTATTATTATTATTTTTTAATTTAGTCCTTCGTTCCTTGTCTTTTCACCACATCTGATTCTTTCTGTTTTCCACATTGTGTGTATTCATTATCTTCCTTTCACCAGTGAATTTCTCGTTAAAGGTTTCTAATTCTTAGTTATTCCAAGTTATTTCTGCTTTATTTGATGCCAATTTCTTTAGATTTTTATTGATTTTTCTTAATTTTGATATCTGTTTTCCCTTATTGTTGTATTCTTCTTTGCTTCCATGATTCTACTTGCTTCTGTCATGCCTCGTTTTAACACGGGTGTCCTCGTTCATCTTTAATTCAAATTCGTTAGTCCTAGTTTCTCTTTTGTTCCTTTTTCGCTAGTTTTCTAGCGTTTGTTTTGGACAATTTTTTCTTCTTTTTCTAGTCTCAAAGTAGAAAATAATCCTACGAACTGAAAATTTTTCAGGAAATTTCAAAATTCCCTGCTCTTGATTTTTCTCCTCCCTTCTTTATTATTATTATTTTTTTATTTAGTCCCTCGTTCCTTGTCTTTTCACCACATCTGATTCTTTCTGTAATCCATATTGTGTGTATTCATTACCTTTCTTTCACCAGTGAATTTCTCGTTAAAGGTTTCTAATTCTTCGTTATTCCAAATTATTTCTGCTTTATTTGATGCCAATTTCTTTAGATTTTTATTTATCTTTCTTAATTTTGATATCTGTTTCCCTTATTGCTGTATTCTTCTTTGCTTCCATCATTCTGCTTGCTTCTGTCATGCCTTGTTTTAACACAAGTGTCCTCGTTCATCTTTAATTCAAATTCGTTAGTCCCAGTTTCTCTTTTGTTCCTTTTTCGCTAGTCTTGTAGCGTTTGTTTTGGACAATTTTTTTTTCTTTTTCTTGTCTCAAAGTAGAAAATAATCCTACGAACTGAAAATTTTTCAGGAAATTTCAAAATTCCCTGCTCTTGATTTTTCTCCTCCCTTCTTTATTATTGTTATTTTTTAATTTAGTCCTTCGTTCCTTGTCTTTTCACCACATTTGATTCTTTCTGTATTCCATTTTGTGTGTATTCATTATCTTCCTTTCACCAGTGAATTTCTCGTTAATGGTTTCTAATTTTTCGTTATTCTAAGTTATTTCTGCTTTATTTGATGCCAATTTCTTTGGATTTTTATTTATTTTTCTTAATTTTGATATCTCTTTTCCCTTATTGTTGTATTCTTCTTTGCTTCCATCATTCTACTTGCTTCTGTCATGCCTTGTTTTAACACAGGTGTCCTCGTTCATCTTTAATTCAAATTCGTTAGTCCTAGTTTCTCTTTTGTTCCTTTTTCGCTAGTCTTCTAGCGTTTGTTTTGGACAATTTTTTCTTCTTTTTCTTGCCTCAAAGTGGAAAATAATCCTACGAACTGAAAATTTTTCAGGAAATTTCAAAATTCCCTGCTCTTGATTTTTCTCCTTCCTTGTTTATTATTATTATTTTTTAATTTAGTCCCTCGTTCCTTGTCTTTTCACCACATCTGATTCTTTCTGTATTCCATATTGTGTGTATTCATTATCTTCCTTTCACCAGTGAATTTCTCGTTAAAGGTTTCTAATTTTTCGTTATTCCAAGTTATTTCTGTTTTATTTGATCCCAATTCTTTAGATTTTGATTTATTTTTCTTAATTTTGATATCTGTTTTCCCTTATTGTTGTATTCTTCTTTGCTTCCATCATTCTACTTGCTTCTGTCATGCCTCGTTTTAACACGGGTGTCCTCGTTCATCTTTAATTCAAATTCGTTGGTCCTAGTTTCTCTTTTGTTCCTTTTTCGCTAGTCTTCTGGCGTTTGTTTTGGACAATTTTTTCTTCTTTTTCTTGTTTCAAAGTAGAAAATAATCCTACGAACTGAAAATTTTTCAGGAAATTTCAAAATTCCCTGCTCTTAATTTTTCTCCTCCCTTCTTTATTATTATTATTTTTTAATTTAGTCCCTCGTTCCTTGTCTTTTCACCACATCTGATTCTTTCTGTATTACATATTGTGTGTATTCATTATCTTCCTTTCACCAGTGAATTTCTCGTTAAAGGTTTCTAATTCTTCGTTATTCCAAGTTATTTCTGCTTTATTTGATCGCAATTTCTTTAGATTTTTATTAATTTTTCTTAATTTTGATATCTGTTTTCCCTTATTGTTGTATTCTTCTTTGCTTCCATCATTCTACTTGCTTCTGTCATGCCTTGTTTTAACACAGGTGTCCTCGTTCATCTTTAATTCAAATTCGTTAGTCCCAGTTTCTCTTTTGTTCCTTTTTCGCTAGTCTTCTAGCGTTTGTTTTGGACAATTTTTTCTTCTTTTTCTAGTCTCAAAGTAGAAAATAATCCTACGAACTGAAAATTTTTCAGGAAATTTCAAAATTTCCTGCTTTTGATTTTTCTCCTCCCTTCTTTATTATTATTATTTTTTAATTTAGTCCTTCGTTCCTCGTCTTTTCACCACATTTGATTCTTTCTGTATTCCATATTGTGTGTATTCATTATCTTCCTTTCACCAGTGAATTTCTCGTTAATGGTTTCTAATTTTTCGTTATTCTAAGTTATTTCTGCTTTATTTGATGCCGATTTCTTTAGATTTTTATTGATTTTTCTTAATTTTGATATCTGTTTTCCCTTATTGTTGTATTCTTCTTTGCTTCCATCATTCTGCTTGCTTCTGTCATGCTTGTTTTAACACAGGTGTCATCGTTCATCTTTAATTCAAATTCGTTAGTCCTAGTTTCTCTTTTGTTCCTTTTTCGCTAGTCTTCTAGCGTTTGTTTTGGACAATTTTTTCTTCTTTTTCTTGTCTCAAAGTAGAAAATAATCCTACGAACTGAAAATTTTACAGGAAATTTCAAAATTCCCTGCTCTTGATTTTTCTCCTCCCTTCTTTGTTATTATTATTTTTTAATTTAGTCCCTCGTTCCCTATCTTTTCACCAGATCTGATTCTTTCTGTATTCCATATTGTGTGTGTTCATTATCTTCCTTTCACCAGTGAATTTCTCGTTAAAGGTTTCTAATTCTTCGATATTCCAAGTTATTTCTACTTTATTTGATGCCAATTTCTTTAGATTTTTATTTATTTTTCTTAATTTTGATATCTGTTTTCCCTTATTGTTCTATTCTTCTTTGCTTCCATCATCTACTTGCTTCTGTCATGCCTTGTTTTAACACGGGTGTCCTCGTTCATCTTTAATTCAAATACGTTAGTCCTAGTTTCTCTTTTGTTCCTTTTTCGCTAGTCTTCTAGCGTTTGTTTTGGACAATTTTTTCTTCTTTTTCTTGTCACAAAGTAGAAGATAATCCTACGAAATGAAAATGTTTCTGAAAATTTCAAAATTCCCCGTTCTTGATTTTTCTCCTCCCTTCTTTATTATTATTATTATTTTTTAATTTAGTCCTTCGTTCCTTGTCTTTTCACCACATCTGATTCTTTCTGTTTTCCACATTGTGTGTATTCATTATCTTCCTTTTACCAGTGAATTTCTCGTTAAAGGTTTCTAATTTTTCGTTATTCCAGGTTATTTCTGCTTTATTTGATGCCAATTTCTTTAGATTTTTATTGATTTTTCTTAATTTTGATATCTGTTTCCCTTATTGTTGTATTCTTCTTTGCTTCCATCATTCTACTTGCTTCTGTCATGCCTTGTTTTAACACAGGTGTCATCGTTCATCTTTAATTCAAATTCGTTAGTCCTAGTTTCTCTTTTGTTCCTTTTTCGCTAGTCTTCTAGCGTTTGTTTTGGACAATTTTGTCTTCTTTTTCTTGTCTCAAAGTAGAAAATAATCCTAGGAACTGGAAATTTTTCTGAAAATTTCAAAATTCCCCGTTCTTGATTTTTCTCCTCCCTTCTTTATTATTATTATTATTTTTTAATTTAGTCCTTCGTTCCTTGTCTTTTCACCACATCTGATTCTTTCTGTTTTCCACATTGTGTGTATTCATTATCTTCCTTTTACCAGTGAATTTCTCGTTAAAGGTTTCTAATTTTTCGTTATTCCAGGTTATTTCTGCTTTATTTGATGCCAATTTCTTTAGATTTTTATTGATTTTTCTTAATTTTGATATCTGTTTCCCTTATTGTTGTATTCTTCTTTGCTTCCATCATTCTACTTGCTTCTGTCATGCCTTGTTTTAACACAGGTGTCATCGTTCATCTTTAATTCAAATTCGTTAGTCCTAGTTTCTCTTTTGTTCCTTTTTCGCTAGTCTTCTAGCGTTTGTTTTGGACAATTTTGTCTTCTTTTTCTTGTCTCAAAGTAGAAAATAATCCTACGAACTGAAAATTTCACAGGAAATTTCAAAATTCCCTGCTCTTGATTTTTCTCCTCCCTTGTTTATTATTATTATTTTTTAATTTAGTACTTCGTTCCTTGTCTTTTCACCACATTTGATTCTTTCTGTATTCCATATTGTGTGTATTCATTATCTTCGTTTCACCAGTGAATTTCTCGTTAAAGGTTTCTAATTTTCCGTTATTTTAAGTTATTTCTGCTTTATTTGACGCGAATTTCTTTAGATTTTTTTATTTTATTAATGTATTCACTAAAAGCTCCATTTTTTTTTGCTTTAAAATGTGTACTCGTATCTACGACTAAGTGCTCCATATATTTCGCTGTGTCTAGTAAACTAGTGTACAAAATCCACCTGGCTTATTTACCCAACTACGAAACCCCGTGCCGTCACTGCACCGACCCTCACCAGCGTCGCCCCGAGCTTCCCCGCCCCAAACAAACCCTCGAGTAGCATTATTGAAAAGCCCTCCGATATTTCCTGCTTTCCCTTCCTCCCCCTTGCCGCCCTCCGCCCACAGCATTTAAATTCACGCATATAATTTCCCAATCGATCCGACCGAACGAAAACCTTCATCCGATTGTTGGTCATTTCCAGGACGACAGGAAGTCCACAGGCGAAGTCGCCGGCCGGGAGCAGCGCAGGAGCACTGCCATCAGAAGCCCGCACGCCTACGGCCCCCGCCAACAAGGCCCTTCAAAATGTCAAAGGGGACCATCCATCGGTAAGCCAGGATGTAAGCATGATCAATGTTTTATTACCCAACACACACTCACTACACGGAATCACGTGCGGCCGCCGCCGCGCCGCACGACGCCGCCGAGGAGCGCCGCCTCCACGCCGCCCCCTTCCTCTCTCTGTAGTCTTGGTCTGTTGGTTGTCGGCCTGGTTGTCGGATCCGTGTTTGGCGTCTTGACTGTGCCCGAGGGAGAGCGAGCGAGAGCCAGGGCCGGCTCGGCGCCCGGCGAAAGTGCCAGGCCGGCCCTGGCGGGCGCTCTCCGTTGCATGGTAAATTCCGTGTAAATTTATGTGGTATGGTTGTTTGATGTAGCGGCGTGGGGTGCAGGCTTTTAGCGGGGCTGAAGTTGTGATAAGTAAATCGGCGGAGGATGAAGTTTTTTAATTAAAGTTGGACGAGTGACGGCTAGGTTTAGCCGGGACGAGACAATTTATCGGGACCGGGACGTATTGGATAAACGTCCGTCATTTCGGGGACTGATGCTGCATTAGCGTGAAATTAACAGGAAAAAAGAATTTTTTCGCTTAATCACCGGGATGCGAATATGACGAGGTTTTGCGGAGGGGAAATGGCTTTTGCGCTGCTTTTGCTGGATTTGGAGAAATCAAGGAGAGAGCGGTGTCGGGAAAATTTCAAAAATCGTGGTGTTGTTTCGTTCAAATAGAGTCCATTTTATTTTATCGAAAAATTTTAAGAACGATGATTTTCTGATATTTTTTTTTAGATTATTTGAGGAAATAATGTAAAAATAACTTCGGTTTCATGAATTGAGGAAAGTGCTCTATAAGCTTATTATTTTCGTTTAAGTAGAGCCTGTTTATATTTGGACAATTTTGAAAAATGTTTACTCTTTTTTATGATTTCTTTAAAAATATATAGCATGAAATATGTCCGGAATTACGAAAAATTCGCTCTATAATCTAGCACTGTTTTTCCGTTTGAGTAGAGTCCATTTTATTTTGTCGAAAATTTTTAACCCGGGTTTTTTGTTTTTTTTTACGATTAATTGAGGAGTAATAGCAAACATCACTCAGATTCACCAACTCGGCAAAGTCTTCAGTAAGCTTCTTTTTCTATTTTTCGTTTACATAGACCCCGTTTTACCACTTTTGAAAAATGTTTACCCTTTTTTTTTGGTTCTTTAAAATAATATAGCAAAAATTACGTCCGGAATCTGCGAAAAATTGGATGTGTTTTTTTGTTCAAATAGAGTCAATTTTACTTTATCGAAAAATTTTGGAACGATGGTTTCCTGATTTTTTTTTCGATTATTTGTCGAAATAAGGTAAAAATAACTTCGGATTCATGAACTGAGAAAAGTTCTCTATAAGCTTTTTGTTTTCGTTTAAGTAGAGTCTGTTTTAGCGTATTTAGAAAATTTTTAAAACTGTTTACTCCTTTTTTATGGATTCTTTATAAATATATAGCAAGGAAATGTCCGGAATCTGCAAAAAATTCGCTCTATAATCTAGCACTGTTTTCACTTCGAGTAGAGTCAATTTTACTTTGTCAAAAAATTTTAACAGGGTTTTCGTCTTTTCTTTTACGATTGATTAAGAAGACAAAACAAACATGACTCAAATTCAGTCGGCAAAGTCGTCTATAAACTTGTTTTTCTATTTTTCGTTTACATAGAGCCTGTTTTACCACTTTTGAAAAATGTTTACCCTTTTTTTTGGTTCTTTAAAATAATATACCAAAAATTACGTCCGGAATCTGCGAAAAATTGGATGTGTTTTTTTGTTGAAATAGAGTCCATTTTACTTTATGGAAAAATTTTGGAACGATGGTTTCCTGATTTTTTTTTCGATTATTTGTCGAAATAAGGTAAAAATAACTTCGGATTCATGAACTGAGAAAAGTTCTCTATAAGCTTTTTGTTTTCGTTTAAGTAGAGTCTGTTTTAGCATATTTAGAAAATTTTTAAAAATGTTTACTCCTTTTTTATGGATTCTTTATAAATGTATAGCAAGAAAATGTCTGGAATCTGCAAAAAATTCGCTCTATAATCTAGCACTGTTTCACTTCGAGTAGAGTCAATTTTACTTTGTCAAAAAATTTTAACAGGGTTTTTTTTACGATTGATTAAGAAGACAAAACAAACATGACTCAAATTCAGTCGGCAAAGTCGTCTATAAACTTGTTTTTCTATTTTTCGTTTACATAGAGCCTGTTTTACCACTTTTGAAAAATGTTTACCAGTAGTATATAAGCAGGGCTGACGTCAATGGTCTCGTGACGCACTGAACGCCAGCCGCGCTGCTGGTTGCGCACCACCACCGTTCGAATCTCGGTTGGGTTATTTGAGGGTAGATGTCGCTTCGGAGTGGGTTTTTAGAATTCTAGTTGTAAATGCGTACTTTGACAGCAGATGGCGCTTTAGGGATTTTGAATTTTGGTTTTAAAATTCTAGTTGTGAATGCGTGCTTTGAAAGCAGATGGCGCTTTAGGAATTTTGAATTTTGGTAATTCGGTTTAGGTATTACAATATAAATTTTGAAAAAAGATGAAACACTGTGCCAGGTGCAGGATTTGGAACCTGCGCTCTGTTTCCGAACCAGAATTTAAGTCTGGCGCTATAGACCACTGGGCCACAGTAATTTTATTTGTGAATAAAACCACATTCTGATGTAATTTTAACAAATTTGAAGTTTAAACTGTTAAATAAGAACATGTCTTGTAATAGTCGGTGTGTGCGGTTTGTTGATGCTCCTGCGACAATTCATTTAATGGTGAGATGGTCCTCTGCATATAAACAAGCAAGATGTGGTCAAATTTGGCTACAGTACGCTAGGGACACAGATAGGTTTCAAAGAAGAATAAAACAAGTAGAGAAAATTTTGGATCCTATATTACAAAGGGAATACAGAGAAAATATATACCAGGATAGATTTAAAAATTTCCGAATCCGATTTCGAAAACGTAGACGGCGTCGAGTTAGGCGTCGTAGGCGTCGTAACCGTCATCGAATCAATCGTAATCGTTATAGATGTGCTTCTTGTAATTTGTGAATAATAAAACTTAAATTAAATATATATGAATTTATTAATAAATGTTTTATTTTATTTATATATAAATGTTTTTATTTATTTATTTATTTATTTATTTTTTTATTTTTTTTTTTTTTGGTGACGTCACGCCAAGCAAGGGTATGGGAGGAGGAGTTTTGTAGTTGTTGTGTGAGTTCGATACCCCCCGCTCCCATACCCTATTTGTTGGCGTGACGTCTTTTAAAAAATTAATAATTATATATTGATAAAAATTATTAGTAACCTTGTCCTCTTCCATCTAGTCCTCCTCCCCCCGTCTTTTCTTCTTGTGTCCTCTTCCATCCAGTCTTCTTCTTTCGTCTTGTCCTCTTGTGTCCTCTTCCATCCAGTCTTCTTCCTCCGTCTTGTCCTCTTCTCCTTCTTGATCCCGGTTCTGGTCATCCTCCATTCATCACGTCCTCAATAATAATCGTTGCTTCAGTTAGTTCATCTTCATGCATTACATCAGTTGTTACATCAGAAATTTCCCATTCCTCCAGTCTATTGGACATCAACTTGCTCGGTAATATTTATTTTCACTTAAGGTGAATTTTCCTTAAAAGAATTTGAATTAACTTTAAGATAATAATTTAGAAACTTACTTGTTGCTCGTCATGGTGTTTTTCCGTACTGATTTCCATTTCGTCATTTGATATAGAGGTAAACTTTCTGTGCTAATTTCCATTTCAGTATGTGTTTTTGTAACAAAGTTTTTCTATAAAAATGGAAAAGATATAAAATTTAATAAATTTAAAAATAATTAAAACTTACTTGTTCTTCAGGATTGAATTTAAAATTGATTTTACTTTTGTATTTTGCTGCACATCAGAAATTTCGATTTCCATTTCGTCATTTGATATAGGTAAACTTTCCATACGCAATCGTATTTGAAATGTGTGTTAGCTCCGTTTTTTCCATGCTGATGTCTAATACAAAAAATTTCTAAAAAAAAAAAAAATATTTAAAATCGGATCCTCGTCAGTCATCGCGCCAATCAATCCATCAATTCAAATAAATTAAAGTTTAATATAAAACTTACTTGTTCTTCAGGATTCAATTTATGGTGATACAACATTTGTATTTTAACGGATCAATCACAATCGCAGGTACGCACTTCTATTTTGAGTATATCGTAACGAATAATTTAGAAACTTACTCGCTGCTCGTCATCTTTTTATTCTGTCTTGATTTCTAATTCATTAAGATGAAGAAAAATTTTTCTAAAAAGAAAATAAGAAAAAAAAAGCAAATTGAATAAATTCAAGTTTAATGTAAAACTTACTTGTTCTTCAGGATTGAATTTACGGTAATTGAACATTTGTATTTTAACGGATCAATCACAATCGCAGGTATGCACTTCTTTTTTTGAGTATTCTGTAACGAATAATCTTCGCGCGTGTACAAGACTGTGCAACAGAGGTTTTCACGATTGCTTATATAGCTTTATTTTATAAAAAACAAACAAAAAACCACAAAAAAATAATATAAATGAATCATTTGTTTCGCGGCAGCAACTATTATCGCAAATATATGATTTGTTTCACCTCAACAAATAAGATATCAAACATGTTTTTCTTTGCATTTGGAAAAATAAGAAACCGCAAAAGATAATAAATGCGTTGTTGGTATTTTTTTTTCGGTGCAAAGCTGTTGCAATGTTTTTTCGGAATTACTCAGACCCATCAATATTCTTTAAAAAATTATAGTGATTGATTTTTTTTTCATTTTAATACATAATTAAGCATGCATATTGCGTGAACGTTCATTATTCACCAACTGTGGTTAGCTCTTTTCCGTTTGATTTAATTAAGGTTTGGTATTTTTACACTGGTAGTTAGTCAAGTTTTCAGTAAGTTGCACTCTTGAAATCTAATTTTTACACATGAATTGATATTTATAGGTATGGACCCTTGTTTATTTTATTTATAAAAATATATAAAATGTAAAGGAGGCGTGGCGTTTATCATCTAAGGAAGATACGGAACATCATTCTAAGTTGTACCTACCTATTGATGACTGAATAAAAAATATTTTTGGATTTTTTTTATACAAAAGAAAAACAACAAACATCTAGTTAGTATTCCAAAAGTTTATTACAGTACTTATTATATTATTTATACAACTATAAAACTATATATAAATATATTAGATATGATACATTCACAAGATGTTTTCGAAAACGAAGTAAACACACAATAATAATATTAATAGCAGTATTGTTTAAGGTGTTATAGTTAATGTTCCAAACATGACATAATAACTTGCGATGAGTATCTTCAACATTTGTGATAATCACGGTATAGGTACTCTTCATCATCATTCATCACATGACGTCGGTTAAATTTATCCACGAATTTTTGTCAACCGGAAGACCCAACCACTTGACAAACATTTTTCGTCCTTTGCGACGTATCACTTTTTCAATTAAATATACGTCTGGATATTTAGTTTTTTGAAGTTCATAATTATAAAAAGATCCTTTTATAGGTTGTCCCTCAGTATCTTCTAGTAAGTATGTAACAGGATTAGTCTGGTTAATTTTTACAACTTTAAATATTTCCGTAGACCAACTGGGTGTGTAACCTTTTTCAAACAATAATTTTTCTTTACTAATTCTTACAAACTCACCTGGTTGAAATTTTTTGTTTTTGTCTGCAATTTTTAGTCTTCGAAATACTGTTATATCTGCTTTGTTAGATCTATTAATTTTAATCGGTTTCTTTCCGATCGTCCGATGAACAGAGGAGTTGTAATCAGATGTGACACGTTGTAAATGATTTAACCATCTATACGAAGCGTTCAAAGTTAACAATGGAAAAAGTTTTGATTTAATAGTTCGAATGACTCTTTCTGCAATAGCTGCCTTTTTCACGCTGTATGTACTATAATGATTAATTCTGTATTTTTGCATTAATTTGTTGAAACGATTATTATAAAATTCCTTTCCTTGGTCGCTTTGTAAATTTCTCGGATGTCGTCCACTTTTTTTTAATATGAACTCCATAGCTTGTACAACTTCTTCTGCTCCTTTTGTTTTTAGCGGTTTAGTCCATAAAAATTTCGAGAAACAATCAATAACAACTAAAATGTATTTGTATCCATTATTTTCATGAGAGTAGGAACGCAAATCTGCCAAATCGATCTGCCACAAATCATCTAAGTCTTTGATTATTGTATGTCTTCTCGGAAAAGTTTTTCGTGCTGGTTTAAAAATTTCATTGACGACTTCCATCTTCGTATCCGTAATTAAAACATTTTGACGTTGAGGTGGCCGCCCTCGTTTTTTTTTAATTGTATCAGCGGTTTTCTTCATGTTATTTTAATGTAGAAGTTTCTTCGTTAGATTTCAATCTTTTGCGGTCAGGATGCAACTGTTCCAGTTTTGCAATTCGCTCTCTTAATAAATCAACATCCTTACCGTTTGAACTTAAAAACTCTTTCCATTTGTCATCGGTATTCTTGATTCGTTTATTTATTTCACTGTTCAGGTGCATATTCATTTTTGCGGTTAGATCAGCTAAATTCCCCATTAAAGTTGTTTTCAAGTTATTTATTTCGTTATCCAGATTCGCTATCAACAGCTGCACTTTTTTGTTGAGAATCTCTACATCAAAATTAAAATTACTCACAGTACTTAGTGTATTTGCAAGTTTATCAATTTGCTTCTGCTTTAAAGCCATTTGGTTTTCTACATTAGATTTTACAGAATTAAACTTATTATCCCACAATCTATCTGCATCCGCAATGTTCTTGTTTAACACTTTCAATGCATCAATGAGGTTATCAGATTTTTTATTAAAATTTTCAACAATCACATCCGCGTAGTATTTGGTGCATACATCGTTTTTTTCAGACGGTAATGATACATTGCAAATTCTATGATTCTCCAAATCTAAACTCCCATCTTTGGTAAAATTAAGTTGTTGCTGTTTCAACAACATTGATTTAAATGCAGAGGTTGAAGGAGACGAGGAAAGATTACTTCCACGAGCACGTCCGAACACATCTATAGGCATTTTGAAAGTGAAATCATTTGCAATAAATACGGCAGTAAATAAGATCTTAATAGATAACACCAGCTTCACGTAGTTCCTCTTCTATTGAACGAATTTCATTTATATGTGTGGTATTCCCAGCTTTTACGGAAGCATGTAATAAATTTAATCTCTCTACTAATTCATCAAAAACGTTATAATAAACGTATTCTGTCACAAAATTATCATTATACAAACCTCGACCAGATTTTTTTGCTGGAAAAGAGAGAGTCGGAGTTAAAGTATTAGGCACACTATAAGTTCGTTGTTGACGCATTAGTGTGGTTCTGGTAGGTTTAATCGATGACGTTGGTGAGGACGTATTTCTACTCGAAGATAAAGTTGGTGAAAAACTGGGAGATGATTCGTTATTAGTATTAATTGTTTTAGATCTTTTCTTTTCTACAAAGTATTCAGTAATCTGTGGACTTGATTTTGACTTTTTTTTCTCTGCTTTTTTTGAAAACAGTGGTTGTATATACTGAAGATATTTTTCACCTCTTGACCCTTTAATCTGTTGTATAGGATCGTAATCTCTCTTATGGGCATTTGAAATTTCCAACATTTGCTTATAGAGTTTACGATCTTTATCATTAATAACAGTAGTCTCATTGTCAGGGTTTTTACTAAAAAGTAGTGTATAAAGCCCATCGGTGGCTGGAAATAGTTGATTATTTAATTGAAAATCTCCATTTTCTGTTATTTGTAATATCAAATTGCCTAAGTGAAACTTATTCGTTTGCAGATCAAATCTAGGCCCGTAAACTTCATCGTTTTCTTCATTTAATACTTTTATAATAAATGGTTTTGCTACATTTGGAAACTGATTGAGAAAATCTTCAAAGACTTCGGGTTGTTTAATATCTGAGAGATTTAATTTTGGTGTGGTTTCATATTCAAATTCCATCTCATCGTCTTCTGGTTTGTATTCAAACACTTCGTCGTCTCTTTCCTCTAAATTATTGTCATGAGTTTCCTCGTCGTCGTTCTGTCGACTCTCCTGCTCTTTATCATCATTCATCATCATCATGACATCATCATCATCATCATCATCATCAGCATCATCTTTTTTTCTTCTGTTAGTGCTTGCTTCTATCGACTGCTTTGTAGGTCTGGGTGGTAAAAACGAAAATTCCACTTCTCGTCGATTTTCGTCGCGACCATAAGTTTTTACTCTTTTACTCGTAGGTGCAGTTGGTTGCTGTTGTGGTTCGTTATTTCTTCGCAGAATTCTTCGTTGTTGTGGTTCCTTTTGGCTATATTTATCGTCTAGTTTTGTAGAGAGTTCGTTAAGAGGATTAAGAACTGGTGTAAATAATTTATTTAATGCAGCATCTTGCTCTTTTATGCCTAGCGTTAAAGCCTTGTACTTTTTTCTAATAGCATCCGATACTTTAATAATCCTACGTTTAGTGCGAACACTTTGATCATTGGTAATAGGTCTATCCATATTGAACGTTCGATATAAACTGCGGCAGTTCATTTTTCATGCTTTATTATATCTTAAATGCTTTACAGAAGTACAGAAATATCTGTTGTACTTAATAAAGTACATACATATCCACCTGTTTTTTTTTTTTTTTTTTAAACTGAACTGATGCTCTTTTGGAAAACAGACCTATTTCTCCAAACAGTAGGTACCTGTTATCATATCACACCTGTTTATTGGATAATGTACTGATCAAATCCTTTACGATATCGACCTTTGTTTAGCTCAGATTCTTTATCGATAACAAGAAATCCATATTTATCCCTCCAACAAATTGTGCATATTTTTTTAAACTGACCAAAATTCATATCGGTACCTACGTGATCTTCATAAATGTGTTTCAAATTTCTTTCGTCTTGTTTTAATAACACCAATAAATTTGTATTATCTCTTATCAAATGTTTCGGGATTCTCGTGTAAGTCTGACATAAATAAAAACAATCGATGTTTTTGTGACGTCCCATAGAAAAATATCTTCTAATATTATCCTGCTTATCACAACTTACATCGTCAAATATCATAACTGAATTCGATTTTGCTTCTTTGGGGTTAATGATTTGTTCATTATCTTCATATTGGTAATATCCAATTCCTTTCACTCTTTGTAATACTTGTTGTAGTAACTTATATTTTGGTTGATAGAGTGACTTGCAGTAAATATATATATTTGTAAATTTTAGTCCGTTCGGATCAAACAATAATGATAGTAATATATTTGTTTTACCACTTCCAGATGGACCACAAATAATAGATCTAACAGATTCAGGAAACAAAATACCATGTTTTCGCCGATGTCTATGATAGTTTACGCTCTTGTGTTCGTCGTTGTCTTCATCATGATTTGTAATCGCTAAAGACGTACCTTGCCTTACGATGCGCATTGCAATTAATGAACAAT